ACTTAAAGACAACAAAAACTAGATGTCTTTTATTTTGAGTAAATATACATGCTCGCCATGGACCAGTGGTGTGGCCTTATGGTGCCTACATATTAACCAATCAGCGCTCCCTGCTCAGTCAAGATTTCTTTTCTCGTAACGGCTTGACATCTGCCTCGCTTGGTAATTTGCATACTTTCTGTTTACACGACAGGCTCTATATCTTACGAAAGCAATGCGATCTAATCCTGGTAAGATTCCATTGTTATATTTTACTGAAATCTGTGACTGTTATCCAAGATGATTTGACATTTGTCGTTTATGTCTTGTTTAAGATTTGTTCTTGATAAACATTTAAAGCTTGGTAGTAAACATTGGTTTAGCTGATAAACTCGTAAATTATATATACGTACAAACGTACTGTTTACTTCAAACGTATTTCATTGCAAAATATTGGAAGTGAATGTGATGCAAATTATTGCAACTTAAAATCGGCTTTTCCTGAAGTGCATTTAATTAATTTTCGGATGTTTTATTCAGTTCTGTTATTTTTTATCAAGCGACGAATACACAAAAGAAAAAGAAATGCCCTATTTGTAGTATTCAATTTGGATTGATTTCTGTGATTAATCATGAATATTCATTAGAATATTTTAGGACAGACTAGATGGTCGTGACAAAGGATGTCGCTAACCCATTGACCTTACTCCGCGGGAGTCCGTGAAATATTGAGGCCTGTGTCATGACCTCACTTGACCTCTAACGTTCAATGTAAAGTGAGAACCGGTCCCGGAAAATAAATCTCGACATTGTACTGTATACAGTTGATATAATTAATTCTAATGCTATACATATCCTGTTAATTAATGACGAAGCATATTACAGGCTGTCAACCGATTCCTTTATTTTTAATATATTTTTATTCAAAAACCTTTTGTTTTGATAGACCTCCTATATTTCCTTTGTTTTCCTATTTTTTGGAAAATATTCCTTTATTTTTCAGGAAATTTGTCGCCGATAAATGTGGATATTGTAAATATTTCTTTGATACTACTTTTGGTTTCTTTATCTTACAAGTTGGAGAATTTTTAAGGTTTTAACAGCATCACCAGCCACCAGAAAATGATTCAGTACATCTCTTTATCGCCTGTATGGACGCCTTGCAAGGCAGTACAACATGATATTGGCCTTTTAGGTGCCCATTCAGGTGATGATGATGATGAGCTATGCAGCAGCTCTCTGCCTGGATTGTGATGCTTTTGAAGTGATTGGTTACTTTAAGGTAGTTTATGATCATTTTTAATTTATTCCTATATTCCTCCTATATTTTGAAGAAGACTTGGTTGACTGCCTGATATTATCACAAATTAAGTTAAGAAATAACCATTAACATAAATAAATACTTAAATAAATAAATAATCAAATTTCAAATAAAAAATGTTATTTGATGAAAGCTTTCAATTTTTTATTTCTTTTTTTTTAAAGAGAATATGACATTTACTTTAACTTTTACACGCGTTTCTTGATTTGAATTAACGAATTATTAAAAACACAGGCGTATAAGTGATGTACACACGTGATAGGCTCATTTATCATACAACCCACTCTTGTCATGTGTGATGCACAATTTTCAAAATATTGCATGTCTACAGCCTAAAGATACCAAAAAAATATTTCGACAATTACGATAAAATTGGCTTCAAAGACGAAATGACGTATGCTATCTGACCAAGCGTGAGTGTAATGTTTTACATGTTATTGATATCGTGATTAGCGGCGACAAAACCAGTCAGGAGTGAAAAATACCACCACTGTTGAAATATCAGAATGTCTTCCTGTGCAAAATAATGGCAAAAATTGGGGGTAATTTCAAGTTTCATCTGTACATCTCCTTACAATAATTCACCACCATGTTATGTGTACGGATATATACTACCCACGTTCAGACGTGTTAATACATCTCTCGAGTTTGCCTGTCGTTTGTGGGGAGACTTTTCTACTGTGGTTGATCTTTATCGGCCGCGTTGCAGGGTCACGTGATATGATGGATGAGAATTTAATGTATCGCCTCTACAGGGTGGTCAGTGATAGCGGTTTTGTTCCACTAGCATGAGGTGACCTTGCCATGAAAAGGTCACGCAATTCATGACGAAATTGGGAGATATCTTTTTAACAGGAAATGATTTTTATTGTGATATTCCGGTATTTGTTTTGCATGCGGCTATTCAGTGCACCCGGCATATGCATGATTACATGCGAATGTATACGAAGACACGTGACGTAGGATTTTGAATTTGATTGGTTATATTGAATTCAACACTGCATAACGATATTACATCGGGTCGAGTTTGTGATAGAAATACGGGTTTATTGGCGGATATCGTTTACAAATAAACACCTATGTGCACAACACTGCCACTCCATTTTGGAAAAATATTCCGAAAATAAATTCGAAACTACGGATGAAATCGAAGAAGAATTTCAGGTATTTACGAAGTTATGTTGGAAATATGAATATTTTTGATAATATACGTACGTCACTAGAAATATGTAAAATTTGCGTTCTATATTTTCAAAATTAATTACGTTTATTTCATGATTCAGTACATGTTTACCTATAAGTGGAGCAAGCATTGTAATGCAATTTTGTATGATATTGTAAATAGAAGTAGGGTAATATAAGTACCAGGATTATGAAAACTGGAAAATTTACAAGTGAAAATTGATTTCAGATTTAGTCATAGCCACGTCTGAACAAATATTAGTAGCATATGATAGATACAATAGTATATACTATACAAAGAAAATACATTAAGAGTTTGAGGATTAAAATCTCTTTTATCATTAATTATTTTAGCTGTTTTAGTCCAAGACAATATATTACAGTTTTATTTAAAGAGGAAAAATCCGAATTCAAAGCTATATTTATTTATTCATGAGGAAACAAATCACATAATTTGTATACTGATAACACTTAAAATGAATTTTGATGGCAAGTCATATCAAACTCCAACATGACCTAAGGACAAGATAAGGATTGAAACATTTTCAGACCAAGTCTCCTCCTTATCCCTATAAATTGAATTAATGCTTGTATTTTTGTTTAATTAAATATTATTCTATTTTTTGGTACGGTGTACCTCATACAGAATTTTGATACCAACCTAGACCATGTTTAATTTCCGGATAGAGTTGAAATACATGTATAATGCCACTTCTTAATGAAAAATGAAGCAAAGTGTGAAATGAAAATATATATATATATCAATCTTGTGCCGTGTCCGCGCCTATTTCTTCTGTCATTTTATTTTAGCTTTCCTCCCTCCACATATCGAGAACCTTCATTTTGATACTCTCAGGCTCATTGACATTGCGGAGCTTACCTATTCATGTAAATGAGAAATGCTCAAAATTACTAGCACTAACTAGGTTAATGAAGTTTATGGTTTTCGTTTCTTGCATATGTTGCTTAGCATTGGATGAAGTATGCTTGTGTTTTACATAAAACACGACCCACGTTATCATTCATCTCAACTCAATATCTCAGAATCTTTAGTTGGTCTAACATACAGTCAGCTTCGTCTTGCTTAGCTTCTGTCGTGATATAAAAATGGATCTTTTTCTCTCATTAACACGTATGTTATGGTGTCACACCAAATAAGATGTTTCACTTTGAATAAATCTTTTACAATGAATAAACAAAGATTTTTTGATAGAACTCGCTACAATAACTATGACTTCAGAAACCCATACATGTGATCATTATAGGTGTATGTATGCCTAATCTGTTTCCAAGAACTCTGCTTCATCGGTTCGATGTTGCTTACATATTAAATTTGTGATTTTATATCTATATCTTCAAATATAAAGGTCGAATTCACAGTGTCCGTTAATATGACGTCATCGATTATGTAACTATGCAATTTAGTAAGCAGCATGAAGATTTTGCAATGAAAGCACTAATGCTTGTTTGAAATTGTTTTCATATATATATATTATATATTAATTACTATTATTGAATGAACATCTCTTTCATAAATATTTTCAAATCCAATTCAACAAAATTCTGCTTGCTACATCATTTAAAGTCATTACCTTTAATGACGGGTAAAATTAAGAAATTCGTACAAAAAATATCGAAATAAAAACGAAAAATAATTAAAACATCACAAAAAATATCAATTATGTTGGTTGTGAAATGAGTTTGTATTGTTTGTTAGTGAAAATATTCAGTGAAAGGTTGAAGAGTTTTTTCTCAGACTTTGAAATGTGTTTTTGATCTTTCATTATTTATGTTTGAATAAGACCCATTAAACTGAACACGCACAGAAAAAAACACATACATACCGCGAACTGAGTGTATTTTTTCTTTTATCTTTCTCTTGAAAAATGTATTTTTAATTTAAATTAGTCTGACGGATGTCAAATGAAACAAACATTAATCAGGGATTTCTTTTTCTTAAAAAAAAAGAACCATTTGAAAATAGCTCATATGTTACCATTTATTCTGCGTAAAATGTATGGCATTAGTTATTGTAGAGGAACCTCTGAGTGTTGCCTGCGGTGTCCTGTAAAATGCCTGTGTGTTGTGTGTCCCTGTGGGTAATGATCCTAGGCCGGCTTGCTTTACCTACATAACAGTACACACACTTCACGTTAAACCACACACGCTTTCGACCTCACAAATGGAAAAAATCGACATTATGTAAATTTTTTGAAATCACGACTCTTTGCTCTTTGTGTATATATTCCAAACAAACTGTGTCTCAATATGCCTAGTCAACACAGAAACCCATTAAAATGATAAAATACATATAGATATATATACACACACATCGTACGAATAGCGAGCTTCTCTCTAGCAGTTAACGTAGAACTTATCATATATTGATATCGAGGGGTTTCATGCTCTGCCACTCTGCCGCTTATTATCTCAAATTCTCTGCATTTAAGAGGGAGGTAATTCATCATGTTAGTGTTCAGTGTTATGGAAATCGCACCAACGTGAGCCAGGCCTTCTATATGGTGTACTGTCGAATCCTCCGGAGGTCCTCATGTACTATATTCGCAGCGGAGGGCGAACAAGGAAGACGGTTATAAATTGTCTATCAGGTTGGTAATGAGAGCACTAACTTAGAGACAAGTTTTATAAGATGTTAAATGAACACTTTTCACTAATCTATTTTTTCACATAAGTTCAAATGTCAGAACGGATGGGGCAGTGGTTAAAATCAAAGTTAATTGAAAAACCGACAAGTTAAAATCGCAATTCATATTTTAAAATTGCACTTATAAAATGCTCCTTACGAAGAAGTTTTTATGACTTTTCGGAATTAATTGGATCATACTCTCCACAAAACTGAAATGCAAATTTGAACCAAAATCAGTAATGTACATGTAACATCCAATCGCTTTTTCACACCACGAGGTGCTGATGAACTTTTTGGAACGTATTTCATAAAACAATGAAATAAATGTCTACTTTTTGATTGATGTTTTAATTAACCTGCACCCCGCCCCCTCCCCAACTCCCCATGCAGTTTGTATGCATTAGCTAAGTTCTAAATGTGTTAATTCTGATCTGTAATCAAATAAACCTATCAAATACAAAGGGGTCTTCTAACTGTTGTATCCTAAAAATATGTTGTTTTTTTTTCATTTTCTACCATAAACCCACCAGTCGAGTTTCACCGGATACGCAGAGCTGCAGCATTAAAACCGAATGTCTGGCTTCACGACGAGTAACGCTATTGGCAATTTATTTTTTTCCGGACGAAACATATCCTTTGGTTCCTTATTTTAGTGACGCCCTCGTAAACTAAACCCAATTATCGCCAGTGCTTCGATAAATAGCGCTTTTTGGTGCCGTTGTCAACTCCGCAGGGGACGATTCCGACTTTCTGGCACGCTGACACAGTAATTCCGTCGAAAATGATGTTTCCAACCATGAATTTCCATTTTTAACTCGACTTAAAACCAGTCCTTGAATGGCATTTTGTGACAAAACATAAATGGGAACCGTACAACACGCGTTTTCTGCATATTGGATTTTAACAGCCGCCAGTAACGGGAGCAATCGACTTAAAACGCTATTATATCCTGTTTTATCTAAAACGTTACTTTGTCAGGTTCTTATCTAAAATTTCTACGTTAGAACCATAACATTGATAAGTATTTCCAGGTATAGCACGGAAAGTTGCCTAATTGTCATTATGTAATCGTTGTGCTAAATTATCTGTCATATTGTGTAATTGTAATTTGTATCTGGAAGAGATTGTATTTTTATTTGAAGGGAAATACCCGTCACATATAAGATTTCAAATGTCATTATCGGATCACTATCTTTGCTATATCTGTAAGTTCACCAATTACTGTCTGAATGTCGCCTTTTCCGGCAGTGAGGTCGATCCCCAGTGTTGTCAAAATGGCTTCCTTTGTTTTCGGAGCCCATTATTGCTGAAGGTCACATCTATAGCTATTCACTGTTATTTCTGTGTTAATGTTAAATATTGTTGTTTGAAGGTATCTTGTTACTGTGGTAGGTAAATATTATTGGAAAGTCGGTGGTGTTTTTTTGTTTGAAGGCCACACTTCACTTAATATTGTGCAGTGTTAGACCCATTGTGTGCAGAGCGGATTATATCATAGGAGTTATTACATGCGGTCACGGCTTGTTGGTTAATTGTCCTCAATATGTTGGAATCACCCTATAGATATGTTGGCAATACAGTACGACATACGATGTGTACCTACTATTCCCATTATAAAAGTCGTTAAAATTTTGGGTCTAATCTTTTCTCTTCTCTTCACTGCTTCAGCTTAATTCTTAGCATTGTGGTACGGTAACACTGATTTGCCTATTGTCAGTATGAGAATCGGCTCCAGTTCTGCACTACCATAAAGAGGTTGTTACACGACCGTATTACAGCATTCCGCAAACACTAGCACTCGCCTCGCATACATCGGGATGTCGTCTTCAAATGACCAAAGCTGTTGATAGGACGTAAAACAAAAGGATATCAAACTATCACACTTTTGCATTTCAGAGGCTTCTAGAAGTACAAATACTTATTAAGTATGATTTATATGATATAGATATTGATCAAACTCATGTTTGTTATATTTACAGATGCACAGGACGACCCGGATAAAGATCACGGAGCTGAACCCCCACTTAATCTGCGTACTGTGTGGGGGTTACTACATTGACGCGGCCACCATTATCGAATGTCTTCACTCCTGTTAGTAACACTCTTTCATTATAACAGATATCACTAATCAGACTCGTTCTCTGCTTCGAAATGCATGTGTTGTACTTGTTAATCGAAGTTTAAGATTACATGCTTTCTGATGAAAAATCGCTTTCGTTGTTTAAAAAAAATAAGAAGTTGTACCCTTCATAATTTTTTCGATAAGAAAAACTACCGACAAAATCAGTTAATAAAACAAGCATAACTATATGCCTATATCTATTTCAAGATGAAATATAGCCAGGTGCATTAATCGCTTAGAGCGAAAATTTAGACCAAATCGTTCGATCTTCCATCTTGGATTACGTATAGGGACAAGTTTCGCCCTTAAAACACTAGGAACATCCCCGGTGACTAATGTTTAATTTATTGTATCCCAAATCTGAAAATAGAAACGTCCTAGATTTGGTATATGAACATTGAAAAGACACTGCTAGATATAAAAAAATACTTAAATATTTACATAATCTTCCTTCCAAGTTAAATTAAACGAAACTACGACAAAGCATGAAAAAACGAAACATTTACACGGAGATTTATGAACATTACAAGGAAGAAGAATATTAGGTGTTCCGGAAGAGTAAGCGTCTTCTGCGGCATTGTCGACTCAGCCATTTAAATCTTGGTAAATCGAAGAAAGTAATGTCATGGTATCAAACCAGATCAAGATAAACAACACTGAAAATTTTGTCTGACAAAGAAATCATTTGCTTTATTATATAAGATACATGACATATATTATATTGTTCATCTTACATATTGTCAATTTGTCGTTTTTGTTCTTGCCTTTTTTAGTTTGCCGGACATGCATTGTACGATACTTGGAATCCAGCAAATATTGTCCGATTTGTGATGTTATGGTACACAAGACAAAACCGCTACAGAATGTTAAGTAAGTTAAAACACCACCATCAAAATTGCATTATAATGAAGGACTGTTCCATAAATGTTTTTATAAGTTTTTCACTAAACAGAACGTGTCGTTACGATTTCTAAGACATAAAGACAGACATTTTGTGGGGACGGGTAACTAATGGATAATGATATTTGGTCAATAGGATGATGAGATATAAGGATGTCCAGTTTGTTCGAATGAATTACCTTGAACCACATTAAAAAATACATTGATAATATGCCTTTATCGAAATCTTCAGATAACGCCATCAGATATATTATAGGAACTTTAATGCAGTTCTTTATAAGTATTACGAATAACCTTTCACAATGATAGAACAAAATCTCAAATAAAAGAGGTCGTATTTTAAACAAATATCCCATACAGCAATATATCTACTGTCGCGGAAAAAAGCCATTACGATATTTTAGATAACATTTTCTTTTCAAGATAACTCTTCACTTCTTTAGACACTTAATAAATATTGTATTGATATCATAGTGCGGTGATGAAATATTTAACTTTATTAAATTATACCTGTATTTCAGATCTGACAAAACGTTACAAGACCTTGTGTATAAGCTAGTTCCAGGTTTATACAAAAGTAAGTACATCATATATACACAAAATTATACGTGAAGACTATATACTTTTAGCTACTGTTATATGAAATGAAAATATGATTTCTTGGGACGCAATATAACTAGATGGAAGTTAACTGTGAAATTCCACTTTGCGAAAAAACTAGAGATGTTATGTGATAGTTATCTTATTACTTCTGTGAATTTTTCCTGGTGGAATTTTTTTGATAACGAGATACAAACTATGACGTAGAAACGCGACAAAGAGCAATAAGCAAGTATTTAGGACTAGCTGTACACCTACTAATTTAAAATTCTGGCTTTCTCTAAATTTTACGGTGTTAAGAATATAGAATTCCCCGTAATCTTTGCATGAAAAATAGTTTCACAGTTCGAATTATACACATGTACTTGGTATTCTTATTAGTAGATATATGGAAATTACGAAAGGCACTGAATTATTGGGCCACCGCTTCTCACCATTTAAGTCATTGACATTTCTTTCGATCACTTGGGATATTTTAATGCTCTCCAAGGCTTCACAGGCCTTAATATCACTGACGAGTCCTAGAAGGCGAAACAGTTGTATAATGTAGTTTAATGGATTAGTTGACTCCCCTGTGTCTAATTTCAGTTTTCGTTTAAAGAAGTTATATTTCTCTTGTGTGTCTTTTGTACAAGTTTCCGGCGTAACTCTAAACTATCTCTTGCTTTTTCATGAATACGAGCCGAGACAGGACAGATAGAAACTTCTATATCTTACACTTTGCCGAACATTGTTTACATGACAAGGAAGATTGATAAATACAAGATTCGGTCTGGAATTTGTTGCTATGTTTAAACTACTAGTAATATGTACTGTCGGATCTGTTGTCACAGTAATTACCTATATCATAAAGCATGTATGACTGTTCATCAGGCAGGTAAGGTATATTGTCAAAGGGTCTCTGACTCAATAAAAACTTGTATAGATAGATCGTCACCTGCCAGATACCGTAATTAATGCGAGATGTCATAAGACCTTTGTAGAAGATTCATTCTTTCTTTCAAACTTGTCCATACATAGCCAATTACACACTGTGCAATGTAAAGCAGTAAGAACCACAACGTGTCACTTTTGATTAATTGGGTCGTCCCTGTAGGTTAGCCCTTGTAAAAGAATATAGGTAAATGATTGGCGGAGGATAGCGGCGTCTTCATGAAATAAATATAGAATGTCACATGATTCACAACAAATTTGAACCTTGGTGACATTCAGCTGAGATGTGATGCTATAAGTTACTCGTATATAACAATGGATGTAAGTTATGAAAGAAACATAAATTATTCTTTCTGTAACATCAAACCAAAAATCGTTATCTGTTGGGAAATATATTCGTTATTGTTTTCTATAAATGTTAATATGACATTGTCATAAGTGCGCTTTGTTTTTACAGGTGAAATGAAACGCAGACGAGACTTATACAATGCCCACCCAGAAGCAGGTAAGACGGGAAATATACATCATACAGAACTTAATTTCCTTATGCATATTAAAATCAATATTATAACTGAAACGGAATAATGGTAAAAAGGAAACAAACAGAAATACAGTATCAAGTTAAACGTAAAACACACAAATGGTTAGATTGTGATATTTACATGTTTTGACACTTCCGCTTGAACTACTTTTACTTTGTTTATGTCCTGACAGGATAATGGATTGTTTGTTTATTTTATGTTAATGGTTACGTAATGTAGCACGTGTGTTAGTAGGAAACTCGATATAACTCTTAAATACAGACAGTGATGATAAATTATTGTGACACGTCAGTGTGATGGGTGTTATGTTCACCACCCAGGCTGTCGGTGCTTTTTTAACGGATAGTCACAGACTATATCCTTTACACATTTTGCGCATGTTTCAGTTTATTTTTTTCAAGGCATCAAATACTCAATTATTTATGATAACTATACCTCTCGGGGTTTAAATGAGATTTTATGATGTGAGATTTTCTGAAACGAGTCGCCGATTTGTTTTATTTATATCTGCGAACCCTGGCGCGCGAAAATTAAATCCACAAGATTTTAAAATAAACATGACTTTGAAAAGTTACATTATGAACATAACTTAGAAAAGTTACATTAGAACATAACTTAAAAAAGTTACATTATGAACATAACTTAGAAAAGTTACATTATGAACATAACTTAGAAAAGTTACATTAGAACATAACTTAGAAAAGTTACATTATGAACATAACTTAGAAAAGTTACATTATGACAAGTTTTTAATTTAAATATGACGGTTAAAATCAAACTGCCAGACATTTTGTTGAGCCATGTGTTTATTTTTATTATGTTTGACGGAACTCGTTTATAGACTACATTCATTTCACAATATACAACATATATATTCTAAAGGCGATTTTTCGAGATCGGGATATCTAATGCAAAGTACTTATCATTTCGAGCGTCAAAATTATATTAGAACAAGGAAATATCTTACTTTTTCCAGCTCATCACTGCACTGGGCCGAGCGAAGAAAAGGGCGATGAAGACCAGGACCGCCTTATTTACACATACGATGAAAAAATCAGTCTTTCGCTTGAGCTGTACTCTGAGTAAGTCACAGCTCCAGTTACTATTAACTATCAACTAAATAAAACGTTACGATGTTTTATTTTAAGAAGAAGGAATGATAATTACAGTATACTTTTAATTTCTGTGGATATCGACGGAAATATTCCTGTCATTCATATCACAACATAATACAGTACAGTTGGATATTTTTGGTTTGTAGATGTGTCCCAGAGGAAGTTCTAGACCAAAATAACGAAGACAATCCGGACCGAATGAAGGTAATGGTCCACGTATTATCAGTAAGGTGACATTAATAAAGAAATATTGGCTTCAAATATAAAGGAAGTGTACGAGGTGGAAATTAAAATTGATTTTGGAAATGTGATAAAATGTGATAAGATCTTGAAACTATTTATAGAATAATGCACGAGTTTCCTTTTTTGTATTAGTTATGAAACCAATCTATCATGAGCTGATATAATGATGAAAAAAAAATATGATAAATTGTATACAATTTGGATCGAATTTGATATCCCTGTTCTTACATTATCAATACTTTTGTTACATACTACAGAAAATGTAATTTTCTATGTTAGACTTGAAGTTCATATAACTCTTTTATCTTTTAACTTCAATCATCACAATTTAATCTGCATGGTATAACGCGCCGTTTTGTTTTTAAATCGTTATGTTACCTGAGGTAATATTAAGAAATATTTATGTTGAATAAAATGACAGTATTGTGATAAAACGAATCATCAGTATATAACAGAACAATTATCTTACACAGCTTAAGAGACAGCTGAACCTCTAAGGACACATTATAAAATCTGTGACTGCTTTCATTCATGCAAAACACGATCATTTATTTAAAGTGAATCGGAAAATGATCCAATGCAATCAAAACATGAAGGTTTATGGTTCTGTCCATGTAGACGTGTTCACCAAAGGTTTATGGTTCTGTCCCTATAGACGTGTTTACCAAAATCGTTAGAATTCCTGTGGTCTTCGTTACTTCCACATGTACGTCATAGGGAATGTTTTCCATCTTAGAAACGGGACGTGCGGTATCTACAATGTCCAGCGGCAGTAACCATCGGTCACCTCAAGAAATTCATCCGGATGAAGTTTGACCTGCCATCTCGGTACAAGGTACAGTGCTTGTCTTGTTCATGAGGTTGTAAAAATGATCTGACGTATTTGATTCACATTCAAGATATGAATTTTCTACAGGCATTACAACCCACAGATGTCTTTTCTGCAACCAAATATCCTATCACAACTAACCCGGAAATGTCTTTTAAACCAAGTTTCTTTTTCATAACGTTATTATTTCCTCTTTTGTAGATCGATATTTTCCATTCTTTTGAGCCGTTGGATGACCTGTTCACCTTGATGGACGTGGCATATATTTACACGTGGAGGCGGGTAAGTCTTCCTAAGAACAAATATGAATATGTAAATTGATAAATCAAAGCACCCTTTGTACTGTTTATAATAAAGCGATTTGTCAATAATCGAGAAAACTTCTATCTTTCCATTTGTCTGGTCGGTTTTGTAACGGTTCATCAAATTTCCTTGCTTCTCCATTTTTACCAAAGTTCGTCATTTAGCACCAATATGTCAGCGGACAGCTCTATATGAATTGTATATAGAAACAGAGTATAAACGTTTGAAATCGACTAGGCGTTTTGCAACCTCTCTTTTAAGTTTTTAAACATTTTGACCAAATGGAAATTCAGACTTAGTCATTTCCAAAACCAATTCGTTATCATGATGCTTAACTATACCGTCTTCAAATTCCATACATGGAAATAATTGGAATTTATTTGTCAACTTAACATTTCCTTAAAATATTTTACAGCAATCGCCCTTGAGACTCGTATACACAGTGTTTGAATTAGCCAGGAACTACAAGAGAAAGTGTGAAGATATAACATCAGTTTCTACGGAGGAAAGCACTCCTTCTCAAAAAGAAGTCGTAAAAGAAACGCCCGTTATTGAGAGAGACACATCACCTACACAACCTGCCAGGGAAGCCAGCCCTCCTTCACAGACAGCACCTGCACATGCACAGACAGTGTCACCTGTAACGCGAGACGAAACACAACATACTAACGAATCTCCACCGCCAATAAAACAGAATGGAAAAGACTCATCCCAAAAGGAAGTTAGTGCCCCTATTATTAAGAAAAACACATCCAAGTATATGGACCGGCTATCGTATCCGGCACCTCCTTCTCTCAGCAAAGGACTCTTGAGTAAACATACAATAGATAGTGCTGGGTTCAAACCGTTGGAAGACGTGAACAGTTTCAGTAACAATGGTGGAAGTGTGTATGATTTTAACGATGGCCGTGATAGTCCCGTTCCAGCTTTCACTGCGCCTTCAGTTGGTGACGGTGAAAATGGTAATAAAGGACCCTTAAAACAGACATCGGGAAAGAAAAGGAAAATTGGAAACGGAAAACTATCTTATATAGCAGATGCACGCTTACAGGACAAAGTTATCTCTAGTAAGGCAAAAGTAACGAAAGATTTGACGAAACCTAACAAAACACCTAAAGAAAAGAAGCAACCACTATTCGATATAAGAGGAAAAGTGAAATCATCGAAATTCAATGGAATTTACACGCAACATGTGTTGAATGGGCACATCGGTGACTAAATGTTGGTTTTATGTTAGTGTTGATTCAGACATAGTACCATGTGTGATTACAGAAAGATTTAAAGCAGCTATATACTTTCTTAGCCATTGTGGTAAAGCCAAATATGAAGGGAACAATTGTAATTATTTGTTGAAAATTTCTTATTGGATGTAAGTGTCTGTTATGGCGGGATTATGTCTTACTGCGAATGTGGATATTTCTTCAGCGTCATGTTACAGTTGAATAGACATGATCACGTCTTGCAAGTTGATAATACATTCAGGATCACAAGCTAGTGGAATCTGTATTTTTTGTTCTTGACCACGCGTACTGTTTTTTTTCTCTCTAGAAAAAGTAAAAATGAGAGGCAGAAAAAATCTCGAAACGACAGACAAATGAGATTTTGAATAAAAGGAAGTGATCTTGCTAATCTCTGGTTACATGAAAATTAAATTGCCTTCTGAAATGTATAAATACACATTTCATGTAGTTGTCGGAAGAAAACCTCCCGTGCCCTTTGGTCTGCGCATGCACGTAACTAAAACGACAATGCGAAGTAGCATTCGGATGTTGTGAGTACCGTAATATACAATGTTTATTAATTAACGGGAAAACCAGAAATCTATAAAGTTACAAGGTCGTTATGTGGACTGGGGACTCTTAATCACGGATTAGGTTGTTTAGGTGATGTACAGTAACCCTACTATTGTTTGAAAAGTCTACTCACGTGCCTAATTTGTGGGGGTGAAATGAAAAGTTAACTTCATTTGAAATTGTTACAATCGTAGACATCATTCAATCATCGAAGTTTTTTCAATCTCGTGAGGATATATCAGATTTGATCGAATTTCCATTGGATACTAAAACATTTATACATTGATTGTCAGTTTATAAGCCTGATACAAAAGTTCCAATTTTGATGAAAATCAACTATACAATGTCTGATTAGAAACAAATTGCATTTTAATTATGTATATCTGTGATGTTAAAATTAATCAATCAAGCTTGGATATTTTTTGGGAAATGATGATTACTTAATCTCTCCTCCTTTGCCAACTCGCTGTTACATGTAGTTATGACTTCATATATATTTCATGGTGTCCTACCTGTACTTGAATCGTTGAAGCTAAGACTTTGTTTTGTTGTAACTATTCTCATTGCATCACCAGCAATGGCCACAAAATTCCTTTGTAACAGTAAGTAGCATAGTCATTTCAAACAGATACCGTTTCAGGATTCCCTAAGGCATAATATTCGACCTTCAAGGAAACAAAATGTCACTTAAACGAATCATTATTTTGGACAGAACTTGTGTTTTTCCATGTCAAAAGGATATTTTTGAACTATTTAATTTACTTTTTATTTCATAGTATGAATAAAATCAATTTACTGGTAAACATGCCCAAAATAATTTTTGGTTATCTTGAATGTTGAGAATGATCGATTGTCTCTTAACAATGGCGGGTTTGATGATAAATATATACAAAGTCTTAATGTAAAGTCTATCATCGTGGTAGGTACGTGATATGTAAAATAGACTGCGGTATGGTATATGATAACATTTATTTTTTTTACAATATACTTATTGCCGAAAGGGATTACGACATCACGCTGCTACCACAGAGCCCATTTAACAGCACAGCGTTAGGTCTTGGTTTCCACCTGTACGGGTTTCACCTGTTCACTGCACACGTAGGCATTCCAAAGATTCTTATTTCGGCATATACAGATCAATTTTGTTTGAAGTACCTTTTTAGAGCGTTTTAACGACAGTTATGCTATAAAATGGAACGAATGCCACCCGTGATGACTATTTATAGATGAAAGAGCCAAACAACTTTCCACGAGTGAAAATGGTCTGCGGTTTTCAGAACGCGAGGTTAATGTTTTGCGATAATGGGGGTGGTATAAATATGAAGTGTTTTTCTATGTCAAACTGTCATACTGGAACACAACTACTCCAATATCATAGGTGACAGGAAGATATTTAAAAAGAATATATTATGAATAGTTTATGAAGTTAAAAACTAAGCATGCATTGCTTGATTATTTTTGGAATCAGTTTGATAAATAAATTTTATCTGTAAAACGTTTGGTAAATCTCTCATTAAATTCGTTTTAAATTGCGTATTAAATGAAAAATTCTAAATAAGTATGATTGACCCTGGCTGTTAATTTTTGACATAACAATGGTTTCGTCTATGTAACTATCTGCTCTGATTGTGAATCATTTAAACCCGAGTTCTGAGGTATCACGACGATTAAACACTTCAAAATAATACAAAGAGCTGTTAGATGAAATTTTACCAGAACAGCAAAAAAATATAACACGCTGGTTGCTTTATTTTTCGCATTTATCATTTTCTTTATGAAGCATTTTTTCTTTAGCGTTGCTTTTATGTTATGTTGAATTTGCACAAGTAGTGCTTATAGATTTCAGGATATGCATAATTGCTTTTGTAATGATTTCCGACTCGTAAACGTATGTGAGGAATTTGTAAGGTGTTGATAACCATGATTATACATATTTTTTTTATAAATTTTCTCTGAGCAACGTGTTTTACACCATAAAATTATTTTTATGTTTGAGGTTTTATTGGTTGTGACGTGATTGTGACGTCATTTATTAATTCAGTGTGATGTTTGAATTTCAATATTCATTTTTTTCGCAATACTTCGCAACACCTATATATCGTTTATCACGTAGTCTTAATGTTTCGTAACGTTTATGTTAAGTGATGTACGTGTGTATCATTTTCTCCCAGAGTACACTGCATGTACCCTGCATAACATTGCCTATTGTGGATGTAAGGAACGGCAACTCTGGAGGTTTGTGATGTATTTGTTGCTCTGTTTGTATTCGTCACGTGGTTTTTGATATATCACGTGTTGTTTTACGTCACGATATATATATATATATCACGCAGCATTCCTATAAATTGACACCTAAGCTGTTTATACGTTGCGTGATGTATATTTAACATGAACAAGTCACGTGGTGTGTTTGTAATGTGATATGTCGTTGTACTTTACGTTATATTATGTGTAATGTTATGGTAACAATGACAGATTTGTAATTAAACTAAGCTGTGGTGCCAATTTCAAGTATTCTTTATTATTGTTAAGTAACTGAAAGTCATCGGAAAAGGATTGAAATCTATCCTAATATTTTTGTTTATGTACGGCCTGGCATACGACATATTTACCAAGGAGTGACATAATACAATGCTATTACTACCCGTCAACATGCCCAAACCCATTCCCACGGTAGAAAATGGAACGTTACAGCAGAAGAAAGTTTTTAGAACGAAAATGATTATTATCCGCTTTACGCAGATACGTTTTGCGCTGTTCCGACCCTGCATTAAGAGATTCATTCTGTTCTTTCGTACCATGCTTGTCACTACTAAGCAATTAGCTAGTTCCCAAAACATTTACCTGCCTTGTCCTATTTATCAATTGCTTTTTATGCTAAGAGCATTTTCAATGCTCTTCAGCATGTTGCTGTCGCCCCTGGCTCCGAGTATCAGTACTTCGTTTTCATTGGTTCATAAATCGAAAGTTTACTCCTACTCCATCTGCCGGACATTACCGTAATAATTGGATTATCGCCCCTAGAAGTTTTGTGTTGTGTATTAATGATAATCAGACATCGAAATTTGTAAATACAATGACAAAGACTCACGTTTTATGGTGGTAAATTTTGCGAGGCAATGCCAATATGGCGGCTTAACTTTCTTTTCCGCGCGATGCATTGTGGGTGTCATATATCTTTCTTTTTTTTTTCTTTTTCGAAAATTTTCATCCCGTTTAATACTGTTGAAAACTTTTGAAAATACTGAAATATGTAGTTGAAAATAAGAATGAAACTAAAATAAGAATGATTTAGAGTAGCATAAAATTTTGACGGAAACAGCCGGGATGCTCTGCTGCTGGACCCTGAAAGAAGACGGCGGCAGAAAGAAGATGGCGGGTATTTTATGTAGGTAAGTATCACTTTATATATATAAGCTGAATCTAAAGTCAATACCTATACTGAACTAGCAATTGCATTTTTTGCAAAAATTCATTTGAAATGAGCTATCGCATGTATTGAATTTAGGCTCGACGGCGACGCGCAAGCTGGGCACTGCCGCCATGGCACTTTTTCAAAATATTTTCAAGACTTTTCCTTTGAAGCAGTATGCATTTGAAAAATGTTATGTAAGCATCTAGCACATTTTTGTTGCTTCCGTAAAGTATTTCAGTGTTTTGAAATGAATTTATTTTTGAATGATCGTTTCATAATGGTCTCATCGCAGTCACTTCTGTCAGTGGCTCAACAGATCGGAAATTAAACAGAAAAAATCTTATCCGTAATATTGTACCAGGGACGTATATATGTTAATATACAGGTCCCTGATTGTACTGTACTACTTACGCTACCGTGAATAGATCTAGGAATCTTTCTATGTAATATATCGATTTTACTTTAAAATATCGGTCACTGTCCGTGCTATTGTAGATCTAGCTCTTTCAAATTTCTGATCGGAGATAATTTAGAAGTACCTCAAGGCCAGGGTATGAAATCGTACGGGAACTCTACAGCTATGCTAATTGTAAGGTTTACAAGTGAAGTTATAGTTTTAGTTTTAATTTAGTTTTTGTCTTTCTGACATGATGTCTAGTTGATTCTTTTGAAGAGTGATGCATGTGAACGATTGCAATATAAAGATTGGGAATAATGAAGATGTCGATTGACATCTGAATCCCGGAAAGTGTTTTAATAAAGATTAGGAAAAACCTAGCAAAGTGTTAGGTCCCAGTGTGAATATGTAAAGTGTAATTGGTACAATTCTTATTATGCCTGAACTTTTGATATATGTACTGTATTTGTTTATCTCAGAAATTTCAGTATTATGTCAACTGCTTCCACTTTCAGTTCAACACTTGATTCATCAATTTTACACAGCCCTATGCTCAATATTTGTCATTAATTGTCGACTGTTTTTAAGTGTTTTAGAGTTTTGTTTCCATGGTGAATGGAATGAAATGGGATAAATAGTCAAACCAATACCCCTCGAGAGCTAATTAAGACATTGCAGTATTATCACTTTGGGCCTTATTAAAAGTCAAATTGAAACTTTAAGAAACTCAAGTGACCGTAAGTACAACAATAAGATGTCGATAATCAATGAAATTGATTAATTGAGAGGACATTTTCTTAGTACAGTTAACCAGGCTTTGTAGTGGTTTGTTCAGAACTGTAGTTCTGGTTAAGTAACCATTAATTATGTTCTTTCAGCTACAATGACATACATTTTTGAAATACCTCTACTGTAGCTAAATATGGCATTTGTAATAGACATAGCCAAAGTTAATTTTGTGATAGACATAGCCAAAGTTAATTTTAGGATCAGTTAGGACAGCTACTGTTTGTAACAGGCATGGGTTCAATTACATGATGATGTAATTAATTAAATTACAATTACATTATGAAAATGGCATTGCCATTACAAGTATTTTCAAAATAATTAAATAACCATTACATGACGGTCCAATGTAATTAATTAAATTACACATTACTTTTCAAGTCAAAATGATTTTTGAAATACAAAGGTCAAAATTAATTATCATACTGCACAGATTTATCACATAAATTTAATTTTATGATTCAATCTCTGTATGACCATGGTCAAGATATTATCATTTTGCTAGCTGTCCATCGCTTAATAATTTGACAGTATATTTAATATAGACTCCTATTGGGAAGACTGTAAGCTTATACAGAAGTGTATATTTCTTGCACATAATCATAGCAATAATGAAATATAGTTATTTATTTCCCTTACTCTTTTTCAGCAAGTGCATGTCCATGAAGAAATGAAATCTGGAATGGTAGAAGGTATCTCTATTGATTCTTCTAAGTTGGAATTGGCTATGGTGACCAACAATGGATTTGAGGACCTTATGGTGGAGAAAAACGTCCTTCTTTCCGGCCTCCAATTAGATGTTGAAGATGATTAATCACTTGCGGAGATGCTAACAACCATGTTGCCTTTTAATGTCACAGTACTTTCTAAAGGCGGCAGTACATTTACCATCACAAAAGAAGAATCAACAAATCGTGGAAACTGAAAAATGTGGAAAAGATCATTGTATACTGCATTTGCAGTAAATTTGTATACAATCTTCAATTTACTTGAGTAGAAAGATTCACTAGTTATACCAAGTTTGTGTAGAAAGGATCACTGTATACTGAGTTTGTAGTGTACATAGAAAGGTTTACTTATTTTTTTTTTTTCTGAAGTTAAGTGTATACAATATATATATAAAAAACTTTTTGTAGAAAAGATCACCGCATACTGAGTTTGTTGTTTACAAATGTGTAGAAAAGATCGCTGTATACCGAGTTTATAGTTTACAATTGTCTAGAAAAATCAGTGTATACTGAACATAATACGACTTCTGTTTAAAACCTTCATTTAAACTTAGGCATGTATTTTTTATGTATCTTAAAAGTCTACCTACAACAATTTTGTGTATGCAAGCTTGTACTAGGATATTGACATGACAAGATTACATTGCTGATCAAAGCATGGAAAGAATACTGTGTCTAAAAACTGAATAAACAAGATATAAGCATCTGTATCATGTTTTTATTATTATTATTATTATTATTATTATTATTATTATTATTATTATTTTCCCATAATGTCTGTCCACATGGAATTTGTGAGCACTCTTGTGCATTCTTATACCACCAAAAGGGTGGGTAAACTGGAATCAGGTTGTCTATCAGTCCATCCATCTGTTTGTCTGTCTGTAGACACATCTTGTCTGGACAACTCCAATGAAACTTTTCAGTAATATTCAGGACAATGTGTAGATGTGCATGCACCATTTTCCCTCGAAATATTGATTGCCATGGCAACTGGTCAATATAGACAGGTTTTGCTTGTCAGTCAACTTCTAAACCTGTGGACCAATTTCAACAAAATTTTGCATGATTGTTAGGGAACGTGCACATGCCGCTGTGTTTCAGAGGATGTTTCTGTGCAAAAGGTCACCATGGGGAGATAGCTAAGGCTGTGGGTGGGGGGGGGGGGGGGGGGGGGGGGGGTATTAGTTATCATTTGGGTTACAGTTTCAGTTATCCCTGGGCAATGTGGAGAGGATATAGTAATGATTTTGAGGATTGAATGTAGAGGTCACAGTACTTGCATAAGTACTATATGATTACCTTGTAAACGCATTGAGACTAAGACAGTATACCTTAATCAAATTTGGAACATGTATCCCTTTTGAGGAGAAGTCGGTTTCTTTAGAAATTCAGGGTCAGATGTCAAAGATCAAGGTCACAGTCAAAAAACGGATAGATGCATGGGGGTGTTCTTTGCATTACCCTCATTTTTCTATCAAATTTCACAACCTAAAAGATATTCACATCTTGCAAATTTCAAGGTCACTGTAAGATGTTAAAAAATGATAATACAAGAGGAATAAAATATCTTGCGACAAGTTTTAGAGAACAAAGAATATATAAACATGTCAACAGAATTGTAGAACCAGCAAAACAAGTGTAAAATTGAAACAAAGACAACATCTACTCAAGATTCACTGAAAAAGTACAAGGAGAATAAGACCAGGTGTTGTGGAAGAATAGGCATCTTCTATTTTAAGTTATGGTGACATATCATTTGTTTTAGAAAATTGGCACTTATGCAGTCATTTACAAACAATCTGGAAAATGAAGCTGCCCAATATTTGTATGTAGCATGTTACTTGCATGATGGTCTCACTAATGGTCTTAAACCAATAAGATACGCAGTCTTTAAAGTGATAATATGGTGTCCAAGATCAACATTTCCTACAATGTATCCAAAGAAATGGACAACTTCCCTATCATTGCATCTTTGAGCCTACTTGGGACATGTATTGCATAAGTAATACTACTATGCTTGTTATTTCTGATATCTGCTGGTCATTTTTTATGGGCTGCAATGATTTACTGCTTGCATATAGTTGGTTTCAGTATATAGCAAGCTAAAAACAAAGAACTAATTTTTTCAATGGTCTTAGCATACCAGTACTTTCAGTACTTTGATTATGTTCTAACG